CTCTAGGACGTGGAGCAGAGTTTGGTGGGTTTTGGACCAAATTGGAGGGGTGTTGGGCTGCAACACACACTAGGCCTTTTCGGTCCCTCGGTTAACCGTTGGAGTATCAAACGAAGTCCAAATGATACGAAACTTGACAGGCGGTCTACCGGTAGTAAACCAAGGCCGCAAGACAAGTCTCGGTCCAATCCGGAAATGTTTAATGCCCACACACGAAAGGAAGGTAGAAATGACCACCGGAGGAGAACGAAGCGCCGGAATGCAAAACGGATAACGGGGAAAATGCTCGGATGCGCGAGACGAACACGTATGCAATGAAATGCGCATGATGACATGATATGCAATGCATGACACGCAAGCAATGACAAGGCAACGCCAGCGAATAACTGAACGACACCTGGCACATCGGTCTCGGGCGTTACACGCTCGCAAGGGCCGCCTCGAGCGCTGGCGGTACCGCATGTGGGTCGCAGAGGCTGCGGCTGCCTACAAAGAGGGTGATGAAGCGGGCGAAGCACTGTTTGGCGAGATAGAGGATGAGGCAGAGGACAATGTCAGCTCTGACGAGTCCCCACTCCGCTGGCGTCATTGAAGCCCTACTCCATCGAGGCCCTGCGGCACCAACAATGAGGCAGAGGACACCGCCGGCTCCGTCGATGCCCCGCCCCACCAGCACCGAGGAGAAGGATTTTGCCGGCTTCGGAAGGCCCTTCTCCGCCGAGACCCGCCGCGCCAACAGCGAGGTAGAGGACATCGCTGGCTCCGCCGAAGCCTCGCCTCGCCGGCACCGAGGCGGAGGACCTCGCCGGCTTCGATGAGGGCCTAGCCCTACTCCGCCAAGGCCCCGCCACGCCAACAACGAGACAGAGGACATCGCCGGCTCAGCCGAGGCCCCACCCTTCTGTCAACGAGGGGGAGGATTTCCCCAGCTCCACTGAGGTGCTGCCCCACCGGCGATGAGACAGAGGACATCGTCGGCTCCGTTGAGGCCCCGCCCCACTGCCAATGAGGCCGCGCCACACAGAAAATGAGGAAGAGTAAAACACGGTAGGTCACCGTCGCTCGGTCCAAGTAAGGCCACCGCTGCTACCCTACGGCTGAAGCCAAGCTAGGAAGTTTGACCATTGACGGCCGATTAGCTTCTTGGCGGTGATGTGGAGTCGGAGAGCTATGTTGGAGAAGGACGCTGCTTTAGTTACCTAACTGCAGGTGTAGTTGGATCACTCACATGTGGGCCCAACAGGCATCTGGGCCACCTGTCAGTTACACAACTGTACCTGCAGTTAAGTCATTGAAGCTCAGTCCGCTGGAGAAGAAGCTTGTGTTTGGCTAGCCGGACACAGGTGGTTAGCTTCGGTTAATTAATTATACCTCCAACGCACCCCTTTTATTTGAAGAATGTATGAAATGTAATGAAATCCGACATTTTTATATGAAATCCTACCGTGTATGAATGAATTTAGTTCAATTAGTGCGAATTCTTGTATCACTGGCATTGGATGAACATGCAAAAAAATACGTACTAGCATTATTCCCACGGTGATCACCTCGTTTGCAGCAGTTTCACATGTACTCCCTCTTGTCCTTTTTAGTCTACACTAGCAAACATGCCCGTGCGTTGCAACAGGAGAAAAAAAGGTTGATGTGCTTCGCTGTAAAGCAAATGTCAATTATCATTAATCAGGCCAGACAGATGGATGATAAGTTTGATGATAACAAAAATGACGAATCAATTAGCAATAGGAATCCTTGGGCGCTAGTTCGAAACTTGGGAAGTGGATCCTAGTCAACTAATGGGATGAACAACCTTATCTTTAGATTACCGTAATGGTAACAAAAATACCAAACACGCAATGCTTCTTTTGAGATACATCGGATAATAAAAATATAGTATACTTCGTCCGACGCCCAGGCATGCATGGTGTGTTAACCGCGATGTCCTGTCGTATGGACATTCTAACTTCTTGTTTTACTTAGTCTATTGTACCTCAATTAAGGACTAATCATAATTTCCTATTTTCTAGCTTTACTGAAAGTGCAAGCATATAAGCCTTTGCCATGTGTCCTCTAAGCCTTTGTCAAACATTGTCTAATCCTTATCCATGTATATATGATGTTTGTTTCCTTCTTAGTTTTCGCGTCCACATAGTCGGTATGAGTCCGTGAGGGAGAAACTAGGATATTTTTTTCACGAATAAGACATAAACAAAGTTAATTTAAACCTTAAAATAAAAACATGTAGCATAGAATCAAATTCGGTAAGAGAATAAACACATATGTGCGCTAACACGTCTCGGAGAGATTTGGTGACCCCTCGCTAGCTAACACATCTAATAAGTGTTGAAAACTCAACACGTGTGCACGCTAGCTAACACGTGGGCTGTTTTTTTAGAAGTAACACGTCGGCTTTGGTAGTAGAAATCAGCGCCCTCGTTGACGCTCCACGCCCCACAACGTCGCAAAATGAATAAGTACAAAATGATTTTGCAATGGAAGGAAAAAGCACTTGATTTTACTGTTTCATATATTCTTTGTTTAGTACTTCAGTTACCCTTCTTTCATGTACCGACCCCAATGCCACGGCAGGAGGCCGGAGAGGCTTGCCGCAAGCCCACACCTGACACGACGAAACCTACTCCCAGCAATTCCGATCCACCACAGCCTCTCACCCTGCAACACCAAGATGCTCCCTTATGGTGTAACTGTGGAATGGTATCTGCTTGTTACTTCAATTAGTAAAAAAAACTAGTATGCAATGTTGTCAACTTGTTGACGACTTTGTTCTAGGTGCTTGACATTAGCTCGTCATGCCTTGTGTGACACTCATGTGTGAAAATATTCAGTTTTATCGCCATGGAAGAAACAAAAAGATGGAATTCTTTTTCTTTATAAACTACATTTAGCACAAGAGTACCAATAATTGCAAGGTGCTTCATCCATACTGTACACAGGGGTTCTAGTGAAATTAATTGGTCAAAGTACAAAGTACTTTTATGAACTAAAAGATGCACTTATATGGACAATATGAATGTATTAGGAGAATAAAGATTCTGACAATGAACTATGGAGAAAAACAATGATGTGAAAACAACAATTTTTCCGCTAGATCCATAACTATAGAAAAACATCCAATTGATTGTATCAATACTTCAATTAACTAACTAGGAAGTAGTATTACTTTAGAAATACATATATTCAAGATGATATCCTATACAAACATTTTTGTGACCAAAACCAAAAAGTGTCAACATTTCCCGGATCCATCGACATAAGAACATAGTGGACTGATACCCACACACCTAATAATTTCCTGCACTTTAGTGTGGCATTTGCAAGATATTCGGCAGAAAGGATCATAAAGAGAGCTTAGCCATTCCACCTCTAGACAGTACAATCAGGACTTTAGCTTTAACTTAATAACCGAGCTGCAAGTGGGAACATGATACTCATGATAATAGAAGAACATGCAACCTATTTGTCTAGAACCAAGATAGAATTGTCACGGTGTACCGTGTACGCCAAAATCTAGAGCTGGGGAGTGAAGAAAACCAGCAGGCGGCTATGATCAATGTCACTAAATTAAATAGTCCAAATCTTTGTTGTAGGTCCAAGTGGTGTCCAAAGCCTTTGAGAATCTGCAGTTGAGACTTGAGAATATACAACAAGAAGACACAGGTGCATGATACACCCAGGAAGAATTCAGCTTCAGAGTGGCACACTACAAACTGGGTACACAAGAAGAATTCAGCTTCAGAGTGGCACACTACAAACTGGGTTCACAAAAGACATGGAAGGTAGCTATATACTATAGTGGAAACTACATCCAGGAAAAGAAAGTAGTATTCAGATTCATATTGTCAAGGAAGAAAGGAAGACATAAACATTTGATGAAGATGCAATTTCTTGGTAGAAAGTAGGCACCTCCGCTTTGATCCTACGTGATTTCATCGCCAAAATGCATTCAATCTCACTTCACAATCACTATAAGCTGAGCTTGACTTGCAAATACACATTGATCTAGTTCCTAGTAGTTGTTTGTTTTGGTAAGATCTCCATAATCCGGCTTTAACCACCAATATTTTACTTGAATATATTTACCGAAATGTCATAAAACTATATATTGTGAAATCATGTTGAAGACAAAAGTTCGTATAGGATTTTTAAGTATCCAATCTTAATATCTTTATAGGTATACTGGTAGGTCAAATTTCATCCATACTGTACAAACAGGAGGACTACTAAAATCAATTGGCCGAAGTACATTTGCACTTTATAAAATGGAGAGTATGACTATATTCGGAGAATAAAGATGTAGACACTGAACTATGGAGAAAAACAATTTTGACTAAATATGAAGAACTATTTGTGTGGACAAATACGGTGGAATTCTGTACAGCAAACCAAGTTTGACTCAAATCAAGTGCTTGGATGTATCACTCTTGCATCTTGTCACTCTCCTGCTCAAACATTAGCCTTACATATTCTCTCCAACAAAACTAAACAAAATTAGGAAATAATTAGTCACTAACAATATACTGAAAATTGACAGTAAAACAATCTTTTTCATATGTCATAATCACGCATTGCTACTGCTATTATAGTTGTCAATATATATGAAACAAATGTATGGTGAGCTGAAGGTACATTTACTATGATAAACTTTTAAGAGTAAAGGATTTAAAGAATCATTATCATTTTCTAATTAAGTTGACGCAATGAAATTTCTTCTGCTTAAGTAGAACAAATGATAAAGAATGTTCAGCATAATGGAAAGGCACTCACATCAGCAACACTGATTTTATCTGGTCTGAAGACATAATCTTCCGAATCAACTCAAATCAGCAGCATTGATTTTATCTGGTCTAGAGAAATAATCTTCCAAATCAACTAACATATTAAAGCTCCCTTTATCAAAAGAAAATCAACTCAGATCGGCAGCACTGATTTTATCTGGTCAGGATATATAATCTTCCAAATCATCCTCGACACCCAAGTTCATCTTAATTAACAGTACAAACCTGAAAGAAAGGAGGCCATCCTAATTATCAGATGCAGACAAAACATAATCTCAAAGAAGATGAAGAAACTAAGATTTCAATTGACCGCAACCACCACGATGCTCCTGCTTGCTGGAGTGGTGGAGGTCCGATCCCGTCGAAGGCGTGGTGGCGGTGGCCCATGACGAGCAGTCAGTGGGCTCTGTCCTTGGTGCAGCGCACAGCTCAACCTCTCAATGCCCAAGGTCCTCCTGAGGAGAGCCGTTGTCACTGTCGTGCGCCACGTCTCCTGCCGGAGCCGTTTGCCTGCGTCCGCGAGTGTGCGCATGTACCCGCGACACCGCCGCTCTCTCCTTTTCCTACTTAACTCCCATGGCGCTCGAGCTCCGCCGTGAGCTCCTCGCGTCGCTAGCCGACGGATCCGGCCTCCCCCTCGCTGGATCCGGTCCGCCACGAGCCCGAAGCCGCCCTTCCTCCGCACTCCTTCTCCGCCTTGCCGCATCTCCACCTTAGTTCCTCATCTCCATGGATCCCCTTTTCCCTGGTACACGGGAGCTGGAGGTTAGCAATTGAAACGTACAAGCACAGGAGAACCAAACGTTTTCTGAGATGCCCACTTAAAAGAATGACTGCAGGCTGAATAGCAAAAACCACAGGGATCTTTTTGCAAAAACGTCGTGACGGTGAACCCGGAGACTCATCCGTGCTTTATTATTAGGGAGAGATACAAGCTTTGTCTGCAGTAAAAGTATCTCTACTTTGTCCAATCTTATAGAAAAAAGTATAAACATTCACAATGTAAAATCAACTGACTTGAAAGAAATCTAATATGTGAAGTAAAAAGGAATAGAGGGAGTGCAAAGAGTTTGAGAAGCTTTTTAGCGTTCCTGTACATTGCAGTCAAACACATAGGCCTGGCAATTCATAGAGAACATTCAAAACAATCAATTATTATGCATCTAAGCGATTCACATGTCAGAGCCAAGATTTACTTCACAACTAAAGAATAAAGAAAAATCGACCGATGCTGCTAACAGCTAAGGGCATCCCATTTGAAAATATCAAACACATGTCTTCTTGCTAACGTCAATGAGCAAAATTTGACAAGGTTGTCCCATTCAAAAATTTCAAATGCGTGTTGTTTTGCATACATCAATGAGAGAACTTTGACAAGGTTTTCCCATTCCATAATATCAAATGCCTATGATTGTGGAATGGGCAGGGTTTGCCATTAGTTCAGACATTGGCATGGCACCTCGTGCTAAATAAACCAGCTGTTCTTTTTGTGCAGTTCCACCAAAATCAACCAAATTCGCGCATAGCTTGTATGATTTCGCCTTTATATGTTGCAACGCCTTGAACATATCGGCACCTCCTTTCTTGTGATGGAAATGAATGATTCAATGTATTCATGAACATTTTGTGTAGTTCCCATTGAAATCAAGTTGAGCACCCTGTTTGCACAAATACAAAAAAAGTGATTAGTATTAAGCAAACTGTACTATGAATTGACAGTTTAAACAGGCACCTACATGGTCCATGTAGAGCACACTTTTAAAAAATGGAACTCATCGGAAAGAATCCTAGAACAACATTGTACTTGTGCATCACAGCAAAAAAGATGGAGATATGTTAGTCCTTCTAACCTGAAGTTAGTTTGGTCTTGTGGGGAGTAATGTAACCATCGTTCAGTTGCTCCCTCTAATGAGTAGATAGACGGGGCTTCTTCATCCTGGCATAATCGGAACTAGTCACTTCACGTACTCCATATTCTTCTTTAGAGGAGGATGATCATGTTGTGCAAAGACAAGAGGGCAACTAAATGCTAGCATCCCTGTTTGCTCGAAAAAAGGAAAGGAAATATTTAAAATAGCATAGATGAAGCACTTCTCAAGGACAATACCACTTTCCCATGACACTATCTAAATAGTAGCACAAGACCAATAGAGATGACAAAGCTCAATCATATGGATGAAATCCGTGGGCGAGTACCAACCTTTGTCAGGAGGCTTATTGTGTAGAGCATACAGATCAAGCACTTCTCCAGAACCATCTGTTGTTATCTACTGTGGTTGCCATGCTTACTATATACTCCTTGATTAGTTTAATATTTCCAACATCTTCTTGTGCAGTTCCACTCAAATATATGGTATCTTCAAAGAAGATCCATGTTTGCACACGTAGAGATAATTACATATTACATTAAGAGTGGCATCAAATCAGTGGCAAAACAATTGCTCGTTCCAGCCATAGCAATAAATTAAGATGCAAAACTATATCATTACTTGTGTCATCAAAGTTCCAGTGCTTCATTACAGCACCGGGAGTTGATTTTTGTTTTTCTTCCGCTTGTTCTTCCCTTCATCACTTGGTTCAATAACAAACAAGCTTCACCTTCAATGTAAGATTTGGCATGTCAATTAGGGAGCACAAGTATAGTACTAAACAACGACATTAATTTTCTGATCAAAGTGGCAAAATATAGGCTGACAATTGTGAAATATCCTTCTTACCTCAATGGGATATTACGGGGCACATACAGATTGGAAGTCTTGTCTCCATTTGTGCAGTTCACTAAAATCAAGCAACATTACTATACAATTAGCACAACATATGAAAGCACACTGCACAATCATGTGAAAGAAGGCTAGTACTGACCTCTCATGACGCGGAATTCAAATAACTCACAAGAAGAAGATCTGAACCAAATTTGCCAACACGGATAGGAAGTAAGATCTCGTCTTGTGCAGTTCCACTAAGATCAAGCAATCAAGCAATGTTGCCGGTGTGACTTTTTGGTTGAACTACACAAAACACTCTTAAAACAAAATAGTTTTGTGTAGTGCAACAAAAGGTCACAATAGCAACAAGGTGAAGTAGATAACCCTGTTTACACAGAGGTGTAGAGGAAACAACTAGTGGTCAATAACGGTAGATGACACAGAAGCCAACAAAAAGAAGCATCTAACTTATCTAAATGGGAAAGAAAGCAAAACAGTAGCATTTCTCAAACGATGTCATTGATTCATATTAACAGAGAGATTATATTAACAATAAAATTAATTAAACATGTAATTTGCTTTTAACTATGGCATTGCATCAATTTTCCAGCCGCATTACTAGAGAGTGTTTGTTTATAGGGATTTTTGGTATAGGGACTAAGAAAGTTCCTTTTAGTCCCAACTAAACCAAACAGGAGGGACTTTTAGGACTAAACGTGGCCATTTGGGACTAAAGAAAAAAGACCTCGAGGGAGAGTCTTTTTGGTACTTTTTCCAACAGTTGCCCTGCCCCGCATCGCACCTTATCTCTATTTGTGCATTACTAGGGGTAACATGGTCTTTTAGCATGTCATTTAATAACCTCTAGTCCATGTTTAGTCCCTGGAACCAAGCAAGTAGGGACTAGGGACTTTTTAGTTGGGACTAAAAAAAGTCCTAGGACTTTTTAACCAAACAAGGCCTTAGATTAACAACAGCTAAAGAGTTGCATGGGACAGTGGACTCACCAGCACCATGTGCATCTACTGTTGTATGAAGGGGTGATGCATAGTCTGTTGCAAAAAAGAACAAACAACCAAGGAGCATATTTGTGTTGGTCCCAATTTTGTTATATTTAGACACCTTTTCCCATGTGAGGGCATCAAATCTATTTCTGCTCAAACTCTACAGCCTTGTCCCCCAAAACAAAAGGTTAGTTCATTACAGATGTGCGTACTACGTTTGTCATTGTTTTCCCTTTTCGACCAACATAGGTGCTGGATAGCCAGTTTGTACTAGTACTTTCCCCTTCCTTTCCTCTTTGAACCACATCCTAGATTCATGCTATACAACTTTCCTCACTACTTTCCCCCATTCCTTTCCTCTTTGAACCACGTCCTAGATTCATGCTATACAACTTTCCTCACTACTCCCCCCTTCCTTTCCTTTTTGAACCACGTCCTAGATTCATGCTATACAACTTTCCCCACAACTTTATCCTATTCCTTTCCTCTTTGCACCACATCCTAGATTCATGCTATACAAATTTCCCCACTACTTTCCTGTTTGATTCGAGTGCAAGAAATGGAAAAAGCCCACATGCAGCTAGAGCAATGCATGTGGAATAAGTAAATTATACCTTAAGGTTCTTGGGGTGTGGTTTGGTGGGCGACCGGAGGCCATTCTGCCCACACTATGTACGGTGGCGAGGAAGAAGGGGTCGGAGGCCCTCCTGCGCCATCACTAGGTGAAAGAGAACAAATGCGCCGGTAGTGGATTCCCTCCCTCGCCGACGACGATAGCGTTAAGCCTCCCTCCCTTCTCGGTGGATAGATCCTGCCGGCTCTTTGACCAGCAGTGAGGAGAGAGAGAGATATGCCAACGAAGTCTTGTTTAGATATGGAGAGGGTGAGAGAGTGTGAAGAGAGCAACTACAAGCATTGATGCTTGAGTGTGTGTATATATATAGTGGAGAGAGAGTGTGAAGAGTGCAAACCCTAGAAAACAAGCACGGAGGCTGCAGCGTATACGTGATGAGGTGATTATATGGGCACTACGAGATCGTATAGATCCATATCCATCTATTTTGACCAGTCAAAGAATCCTCCTAGCACCGCCCCAGATCACTTTCTCTCTCTATCATGCGGGGCCTACCTGTCATTGGGTGGAAGAAAGAAGTCGAACAAAAACAAAATTATGCTCAATTGTGGTTATCGAACCCGAGACCTCAAGTTTGATGAGCGAACAGGCTAACCAGCTATAGCACCCTCACATTATGTTTAAGGAGAGGAACATAACCTTTTATACATTCCTGCATTCGTGTGACAAGCATGCCGTGCTTTTTGCGTGGGAGGCATTGGGATTTAAATCATAATCGTGTCATGTGGCTTTGGTGGTAAGGTCTTTTGGGATTTAAAGCAGTGTTCGTAGTACATAAATAATGCAGCCTTAGTCACCTTATCTCTCTCCACGTAGTACGTTGGGTCCCACCAGTCAGAGGGTGAAACAAACAAATTTATAAGTAAAATTAAAAGCGCCATCAGTTTATCTTACCTCACACATCTCGCTACTGCTCGTGAACACTGTCCAATTGATCCCTCTGTTCGCTCACATACTATTTTAAGTGAATCCTTATTATAACATGAACACTAGCCATATTATGTTACCACAAGCATCTCTTTCCTCATTAACTCCATGCCACATAAGCAATTTTTTCTTGGGATGTGCGATGTTACTACCTAAGTTACTCCCACTATGGCTAGCCTTAGTAAGGAAATTGCTCGGCTAGCCCAACTAGCCAACTTTTGCTTTCCCAACCTTGCTAGGTCAAACAGTTTAGTTTTTTTCTAACTAGCCTTGCCCCGTGAAAATCGTTGTCATGAGTGGGTCGCCAACTTTTCTGTGCGCGAAGTTTGCCGTCGGAAGCGAGCCGATCTGGCTCTCCTGAGCTAGCAAGGTTTTTCTAGCCCACCCAAGCTAGCTGGCCCACAAAAGCTAACATATTTTAACAGTTCCAAACACC